AACTGAGGCCCTAAAACCTCCCTGATGTAGCGGTTGCAGTTCAAATTGCCCTCAATACGTATGACGCAATATCGCACATTGTAGTCAATGGCGCCTCAAACCATCACACTTGGCGTTTGGCCGCTATGGCATGGAACAATGCAGGCTGGCTGATTACGACACCCACGATAGCGTCGAACCCGTACTTGGCCATCGCTGTAGCACAACTTGAAGCGGGATTTGCCTTAAAACAGTACATTTTGCCTCTCAGCAGACAAGAAAACACGTTCACGTGCACATTCTGAGGCGTTGGTGGTTTCTGGTTAAGGGAAACCAGTGGTATGCGTGCTACCAGTTCAGCCCTCAACAGACAGCGTCGAACTGTCGATGCAGACATGACCACATCCGTTGCATTGCTCTAAATTCGGGTCAACGCTGAGAACGACGCCGTTCTATCGGTTACGGTCAATCGGACGATGGCGGTCATCTCGTGCTGTGGTCATTTTGATCAGTACCCACTCGTTGGTGTGAACGACCCTCCTCTATCCATTGGTGCCACAGATGCGTCATTGTCGTATCAGCGCGCCCCGATTGCACCGCAATGTCTCGGAACGACAAACTTGATTCCCACAGACCTACCATTCTGCTCCGATCGAACTCACTCAGATGCTGATATTGCGCCCTTTGGTGTCGACGAGGCATCCGGCACTTGCTTGCACGTTCCCACGTGTTTTGATGGCTATACAGCGTATGGCATAACACTGACCTGAAGTGTCACACAAAGAACAGCTGCCAGGCCAACGTACACGCCATCTGTATGTAAATTTAATCACTTCTTATGGATACATTGTTCAATACATCGTCCTATTTTAAGTGATTTTGACCATTCCTTCTGGGTGTTTTGCTTGACTTGTTTCGAGAACTGATTCATTCTCATCTCAAGCTGTTATGGTTAAGAAGTTTGATTTATTACATGTATAAAAATAATTATAAATTTGTACAAAGTACATAATTAAAGCACGTCTAGTTTTTCGCTGATACGTTTTTGTTATTTACTTATTTTGCCATTGTCTTTGATTAATATAACATTTTTTGATTATTTTGGTTTAACTTTCTTGGAGCCGTTTGCGTGTTTTTCTTTATAAATTTGAATCAATTTCCGAGAAAATGTCTTTTCAGCGTTTCGGAAAATGCGTAATGTTGAGAAGAGGGTGTGTCAGTAGCGGAGAGCTAGCCTAGACTATAGAGATTATAAAACTAACTATTGGGACAAAGTGTATCATTTTGTAGCACCATTTGTTTATTCATAGCGTGCAACGGTTCCTCTGGTTCCATGGTGTGTCTATGATAGTGTTCAGAAATACCAAAATGCGTTACTTATGTTTGAGATATCTTTGAAAGAAATGAATGCTGTAGTAGTTATATTTTCTCCAAATCATTACAGATCTGCGTTTCACAAGAGAAAGATGAGAATATGTTCCCGTATATATCTTTGTGTGCTTTACGAAGTGACATATTTTGGACTTTTGCTATTTTACAGTGTACTGACTAAGAATACAAGTTGCGGTGTGGTCATGTATCAAAGTTACTCCAAATTTACTCACAACAAATTTTGCTTTATAGTAATATATTAATTAAGGTTGATTGCCATTTATCTCCGCTTCATATCTGTAGAAGCTGTTAGTTGTTAGACTTCGAGCTGGTAACTCCATGTACTTGAAACTTTGGAAAACAACACTAATGAAGCTAGCTCCTTTACAAAATTACGACCTTATGAAGCAATTCCCTTAACCACTAACCTGGAGAGACTTCTATGTCTGTGATTGTAAGCGATTCTCTAGTAAACCCTAATATTATGCTGTATTTCTCAAAGAGGAAAGCTACAACCTCTTTCAGAGATTCCTAAGCGACATAAATCGATTAAATTACTTGTACACATGCGGTTCAAGAGCAAAACGCCCTGAAAACGCTTCCGTAATAGCTCAAGTGAAACATTTTCGATTTTTTCAGATTTAAGTTTTTTGCTTAGGCATTGGAAAGGATAAAACGTAATATGTAAGAAAGAGCCTTGCCCTAATGGACATTTAAAATTCAATGAAGCTTTCAACGGCAATCAGAAACGTTTCCTTCATATCGCTGAAATCCATCATATATTTTAATTAAAATCAACATTCAGAATTACAAGTTGTATAAATGACTGCCGAATACCCAAGCGCCTGTACTAATTAATTTAATTACGTCATTTCAATTAACAAATAAGGAATATAAATTGTAATAAAATGGACAATATCGTGAAAAATGAAAAATAATAATGCTATAGTATGAACATCTCCAGATAGTTAAATCTTCTAGAAAATACATAAAATAAAACATTCCTTATATGTTTATTTTAATGTTTTCCTGGCACTTTATGCAACCAGATTTCCAGTTTTTGTTTCTGCTGCTTTTCTGCTCATTTATTTAGCATTAAACAAACATAACGTTTTATGTCTCTATAGCTCCAAAAAATAAAAATAAACTCCCAAGGGCAGCAGCGAAACTACAAAGAATAACAGACCAAGCATTATTTCTTCAGCAAACTTAATTTGTTTTTCCTTTGTCGCATGTTACACTGGAAGCAATCCAGCAAAGCAAATCGTCAATAACAAAGACGTCTGCAAAAGCGTTATACAGAAACTGGCGTTAGGTGACCTAGGATCAATTTCGGCTTTCTAAGATCATCAACGCTCTGTTTAACTCAATCAAAATAGTGCAAAATAAATTATTAATTGATTTGATTTAAATTGTTTGTTTATTTTTTATTTAATTTTATTTATTTTTTCAAAAACTGCATTGACGTAAGGAGAAGAAATACAAGCAGCTCTCATTTTCTTGTGCTACAGAATCTTCTCCTTACCTTTTAACCTCAAGTAGCAGAATGTTGAATAAAAGTTCCAATAAAGTGAGATAAGCAATATTTCAAATCTAGACATTTTCTCCCACGTTATGAAATAATCACTGATGTTAAGCATAACTGACAGTCTAAGATAAGTAGGTGTCCGGGAAAATAACAAGAGAAGGTTAAAAAATCAAAATTTGTTTGGGTCGATTTAAATGAGAGAATAATATGATCAAAAACGTTTTTAAGAAATATTAAATTTAGTTAAGTGTTATTGATAAATAAAACTTGTTTCTTCTCATTTTTTCACAAAATAAATTCAAAGTGAACATTAACTTTTATAAATAATTATACTCATCTGCATAAAAGCGCCATGGTTGAAAACGTCTGAATTTTGAGGAACCCGCAATGTGCCGACGGGTTCCATCCTTCAACTCTTTTAAGCTTCTCAGGCTCATTCAGTCTCGAAGAACCGTAAAAAGAGCGCCTACTGCCGTCCACCAAGGACTTTCGGACATTACATTTATTGAGAGGTTAGATAAGTTGAAAATTAAGGCCACCCTGAAGAGATGTAGTCTCTCATGTTAAACTGGGTATTTTTAAAGAACATTTTCTCAGAAACTATTGAAGCTGACTCTTTCAACTTTTCTTTAAGTTATTTAATTTTTGTTATAGATTTCAACAATATATTTTTTGGAAAACTTGTATTATTTGTGAAAATATAAATTTTTGAAAACGATAAAATGTTGCACTAAAAAAATCGCAATATTTTCACATTTATTTTAATTTTCAGAAAAAATATCCTGTTAAATTTACCTGTGCTACATTAGATGTATAAATTTTGTAGAGATGGGACTAAAGGAAATTGAGAAAATGTTCCTTTATACCGAACATTTCAAAAACGTTTTCAAGAAATATTAAATATAGTTAGGTGTTATTTATAAATTTAAAAAATTGTTTTCATATTTGTCATAAAATAATTTAGACGTGATCATAAACTTTTACAAATAATTACACTCGTCTGTAGCAAAGCACCATAGTTGAAAACTTGAGAAATGTTGATTGCTGTTACCGGGTACGTCTGAGCTACTAGTCCCGTTCTTGAAGTGCATGTTTCATCCCAAAGTGTCGGTGATTCCTCCCTTGAAAAATGACGACCTGCACGTCGCCTTGCGGGGATTTGCCCTCCAGGTATCTCCTACTGACGGGGCACCGCCGCAGCCCTTACAAGTTCTAAGCTCCCGACCCGTGTTGTACGGAATGTAAGTGTATGTGTAAGGGGCGAGGATAGGACATGGAAGAGGAAGGAAATATCGCGCACGGTCCATGGCCCGTTGTAGTGTACTGCTTCGGCATTCGCCTGGTGCTGATCGTAGGGACACGGAAATCTGTGGATCAGACCAACCGTTCACCAGAATTCTCCTCCAGTCAGCGGAGGTCCGGCTGAATTTGACCTAGCTATGTAGCAAGTGTCAAAAATTCTCCAGCATCAGGTCCAGCACCTTCAAGTCGCAGTCGCTGCAGAGATAGGGACTTCGTTGGCTCCGAGCTCAATTCATCCGGTTAAAGCGAAAGAATTATACACAGCATGCCTTGTAGTTTATCTAAACTTCCCTTGCCTTGTTTTTACATTTAAGAACATTAACAACGTCGAAATATTAGATTCTACATGGTTCGTCCTAGTAGGTTTCGTTTTTACTTTGTGTTGTTTAAGTTTATTCTTATAGACATTAATATACCGGGAAAATTCTAGAATGCGGCTGCTCCATGCCAAAACAGGAATTGAAAAACCCATTATTTTGAGAACATAAAGTTTCAATTATTTTTGAGAGCCTTTTGCTGATGATGGGCCATTGAATCTACTAAAGATATTTACAAATATTCTGGTATAAAGGTACGTCTTGATGTAATAACCCACAGAATATGCAATAGAGCGTACAACGCGTGTTTGCTATGAACGCTGGTTACTGTGTTTTGACATGAATCTACCAAAAGGTGAAGAATTCGAATTCTGTAAGATCTGTAATGCATCCCACCTCTAGCAAATGCACATGCATTTCTCAAGAGTCATAAAAGCTCCGGAACCTTATAACTCCGAGGGAAACGAAAGCTTAGTTTATTTCGTATGACTTGTCTTGCGCAGGTCACCATCTTCCAGGAGTGCCAGCCCGAGTTTCTACACGACTTAGTGCTGAAGATGAAGGCATACATCTTTACTCCAGGAGACCTCATCTGCCGCAAGGGCGAGGTTGCACGGGAGATGTTCATTATCGCAGATGGGATCCTGGAGGTCATCAGGTAAGGAAGAACGACCGATGATCGTTGAAAACGCGAAAGATGTTCGCTTTCATGATCGGCGAATCCCATCAAATTATTTTCAAACAACGAATTCAGCTTTTTTTCTCTATTCTTGACTTCCTCATTATCAAATAAGTATTGATATGGGACTGTCAATGCTTACAAACTACAATGTCATTCGCGCGTTGTTTGAAAATCATTGTAAACATTTGAGGATCTAAAGCCACTTGTCATTAATCGGGTATTCCATGAGGCATCTGGCAATGTTAGACATCTGTTGCAGCGAAACCGGCCGCGTGCTGACCACAATGAAAGCCGGGGACTTCTTCGGAGAAATTGGTATCCTTAATCTCGACGGCCTTAACAAGTAAGTAAGCAGCGAATATTCATTCTATCACACATACGCTCCTGTTAGTACTGGGTTATTATATTATATTAAATTATACCAAATTATCACTGTTGATTACGATTTTTTTAGGAAACAAAATCCTATCCGCTCTTTTTAGCATAAAATAATTCAAGTCTCAATATAAATAATTTTCAATACTTTTTTTATAAATTAAATCTAACGAAGCATACATTAATGTTTTAAAGAATGTAGGAATATATTTTAGACTCAGGCCTAAAGATATGTTCGTCAAATTTATTTCAGAGCTAATACATATGCAACAAATAATTTGAAACTACCAAATTTGTTTGCATGTAGGAATTCATATTTCATATTTGTTATAAATCAAGTACTTGTAATCATATTCCTGTTCTGAGCACAGGTAATCATCTATTAAAAGTTTTTGTTTAATTTCTCGATTACAGTGAGAAGTACCTCAGATAATAATTGAAAATGCTTCCAATATTATTTCGAGATCTTACATTTTTTCTTTGTCGTTGAGTTTTTCGTTCTTAGGTTAGGTAGCTAATACAGTAAAAAGCTGTTTTAAATTCGAAAATAATACATTTCTGCCTTCTTTTAACGAGGTATCTTTCGACTTTAACGAGTACTAGTTATTACCATGATTATAAAGAAAAATATTAATAACTCCTTTTCTTATTTATTGTAAAAGAGTATATTTAGATTTTCTTTTTCACTTTCATCAACAAACTTCACAGTGTGAGATATTACACCGATAGTTTAAATTCTTGAACATTGTTTTACAATAAGTTCAATTTCAGTAACTTGAAATTATTTTAACATGTAATTGATTAATAATGCATTATTCACTATCTGTACCTGACGTCTCCTTTGCAGAAAATACTACTTATTTTTCCCATTTTCTTTCAATTATTCTGTCCCTTACTCGAAACCATTGGCAGAACCTATTTTTCATCAATACACTTTCCATTCTAAATTTTCTCGGTAATCAAATGGCTGAATTTGAATATGGTGATCACATGGGAGTTAAATACAAACAATGGTATGCAAATTATGCCCCTACTCTCGTTACAATTTCATATCATAATACCATTTGTTTCTCTCCCATCAACTCTGTTCCCATTTTCCTTCTTTATTGGTCCTCGGAAACTAGCAACGATAGGCATCAAACATCAACCCCATTTAAGTTGCAAATTGAGCAAGATATTACAAATTGCAATTTCAAATCAATTTCCGCGACATATATACACATAAACTGTACAAACTATTATTAACCTAATTAATTTATTTTACACCATATATGCCATTTTATTATTTCGTACGTGTATGGACCAAGAAATAACTATGAATTTACCAAAGTAAACTATTGGAAGTAAAAACTAACGAAGTAATTTTTGAAAAATCAAACGAATGGCCAAAATGGTGTTTCCGTTTCGAAATTTAGTGCCATTAGCACTTAGTGACAAGAACAAGAAGTTAAAAGAAAAAAATTGGAGTCATTTTTTGGTAAATTTTGTTTTAAAATTACCCATTTTCCTTTAAATTATCTGAAAACATTTCATATTTTTGAAAAAAATATACATGATATGGTAGAACCAATTGTGAGCAACAAATTTGATACGAAGAAAAATATCGTGTAGAAAAGAATAAGAAGAAAATGAATAAAAATAATATAATACCGGGGTTCCAATAATTTCAGTTTTCGAAATTTCAGAGTTAACACTGAAAATTGTTCCATTCCACTTTCATAAGTTAATTCTACTCCATTCAAACAAAGGTTTTGAAAAATTGAAACGATTTTTTTAGAATATATTAAGAATTTCGTCGAGACTTCATATAAAGTATCCCTCAAAAACAAATTCAAATTCTAACAGTGGTGTGCAGTATGAGAGAATGTGAAATAATATAATTACGAGAGGCAATATGATTTGTTTTATTTCATTCAATTATGTGTGAATCTTCCATAGGCTAGAAGGACTTTGCACCAACGACTCTGCTAAAATTACCCAAGAGTCCTCTTTCAATGACCTTTAAAATTAGGAATGAATACTATATTTGGCATATTGATCGTTGGGCATTTTATTCTTCCGGTTACAACCGAAAGGACAATATTTCTCTCTGTAAAGTGAAGGGGTAAAGAAAACTAAAAATATACGTACTAATACGGTGTTTTCAATCAAATGAATACAAGTATGTTGATTTTTTTAAATGTATTTCTTCTTGTTCAAGTGTACTAGGTTTTCACGATGTTAAATGATTTTTCGCGATCAGAAAATGTGCTTACAAGCATCTCGAGATTTTAGCTTCGAATTCCTATATTTTCAAGAGAAATTCTTTCTCAATTTTTGGTGAAGTTCTAAGCGCAGTAGTATTCCTGTTGTCTCAAGATCACTTATGAGACTTCAACTCCGAATCTCTAGATTCCTGTATGAATTCTCATCACCTGCTCTCTTTTTGATGGAGTTAAGAGAGTTTAGTAATGTTTCTACTGCCTTCAAAATACAGCTACCAATCTGAAGGAAATTCCAACCTCATTCCCACGTATGCTAGGTGCAGTAGTATTAGTGCAGTCTCTAGATCCTTGCTTCCAATTTCCAGATTCCCGACAGAAATTCCTATTCCAGCCCTTACTTCTTGGCCGAGTGCAAAGAGTAATAACATTCCTATTGCTCCGAGTTATCGTATGGACCTTCAGATTCCAATCTCTAAATTCTCAAGCGAAATCGCTATTCCTTTCCCGCTTGTATGTCTGCGAACGCCCATGTGCTGTGCGCAGGCGGACGGCGGACGTGCGTTCCGTGGGCTACTCGGAGCTGTTCAGCCTGTCGCGCGAGGACGTGTTGGCCGCCATGAAGGACTACCCGGAGGCCCAGGAGATCCTACAGAGCCTCGGCCGCAAAAGGTAAGACCGATCCCACCTACCTCCGGCCGACCACACCCGGACACGCACGGACACTCTCGGATACTCTCGGACACGCCTCACCCCCATCCCGTCCCATCCCGTTCCATCCCGTCTCGTCCCGTCCAGTCCCGTCCCATCCCGTCCCATCCCGTCCCATCCCGTCATCCCGGTCCGCATCCCGGTCGCCATCCCGTCCATCCGTCCCATCCCATCCCATCGATCCCATCGCATTCCGCATTCCATCCCATCCCATCCCATCCCATCCATCCCATCCCCTCATCCCATCCAATCCATCATCCGCTATCCCATCCCATCCCATCCCATTACATCCCATCCCATCCCATCCCATTGCATCCCATCCCATCCCATTACATCCCGTTTTGTCCCGCCCCGTCCCGTCTTTAAAATAATTGTCATTATTATTTGTGGGGAGACTCAAGATTAGGCCTTAGCCTGGACACGCACCGATCGTCTCGCCACGTATCGCTCCGTTCTGACCGTCCCGTCCCGCTCGATCCCACCCCGTCCCTTGCTGTCTCGGATTTTTGAAACTAGTTGCATAGGTAGATCGAATTCACCTGGTGTCTGAAGGAGAATTCTAGCGGACGACTGCTCTGATCGGTAGTTTTCTATTCAATTCGTGTCGATTCAATTAAATTTCTATTCAAGTTTCTCCAATCAGTACCAGGTGAATGCTGTAACAGTACCCTAACAAACGGACCGCAAGCGATATTTTCTTCCTCTTTCTTGTCCTAACCTCACCCCTCACCCTCACGCGTGCGCGCGCGCGCACGCAAGTAGAAAATGAAGGAAATTAGAGTACACACGGCCGATATTGGAATATGGCTTAGGGTAGTGCGACTGACAAGAATATGGCTCCAATTGTTCATGAGATCCCTGTCAATATCATGTCAATCTGTTATTTTTTGTCGATAAGATCTCGCATTCGTTATCATTCTGTTGATTTCTTTTTATTCCAACAAACGTCGCCTTTCACCCGAATAAATGGAAGAAGAAACGTGAATTAAGAGGTCGCCCTCGGATATTTAATTCCAACAATATTTATTTGTTATCTGTTCAATATAACACAGAAAACTGTGCATTACATACAACTGCAGTAAACTTTGCACAAGTTGGTTTAGCCGGATTTACATTTATCTAATATTCAAAGGTGAGTCGAAAATACAAATTCATCTGCATAAAATCCTAGTGATTTCTGTGAGTAAAAATAAGCTTAGTAACCTGTTACTTGTAAAATAAAAACATCTGTTGAGATCATCAGAACTCATTTGTCCCATTGGTTTGGCAAAGAAAAACTTTCCGAGTGTCCTCGTTACCAGGAATTTTAGTGGCTCCCTTTGATAAAAAGAAACGAGGAAATTTCCGCTTACAAACGACCTGTGTAGCTACCTTCGAAGGCAATCAATTCCACTCCAATTGTATTCTAGCTGTATCTTTAAACCGTCGACTGAGCACCTCATGTATATGTAACAGAACTGGAAACCGTGAACATAAAACGACCGAGGATCTCTCTGTCTCGCTCTCTGTTCTTTTTTGAGCGCTGCCAGAAGTAAACCTTCGCCTCTCTTGTTTGCAAAGGGAGTTTGTCACATTATGTAGTAGCGGGTTCTGAAAGGTTCTCGAAAACATAAATCTTTGGATATTTGACCACATATTGACATAACCTCATTTTTATTAATCAGTTGAGAGATAAAAAAGCGGGATTTTCGGAAGAAGTAACAGATAACTTAGGCGCACAAAAGAAAGTTGCCAGAAGAGCTTTTTCAGAGCAATGATACAAATGAGTTCTGATGATCTCAATAGAGACGTTTTTATTTTTCATGTGACTGGTTACTAAGCTTATTTTACCCACTCAAATCACTAGTATTTTATGTAGACAACTTTTTAAATTATTTATTCTAAATAGACATAAAATAAATAATTTTTAAAAAAGTTGACAGATCCAAAACCTGGCATATGTTTCTCAATGTATGTTGACGCTGTTGTTTTATAAGCCATAATTGTGCCACTACCCTCCAGTTTTTTATCGCAAAAAAAACTCAGTGAAATTGTAAATTGCGCATTTCAATGTGTTTTTCCCGATTTAAAAAACCACAAGGTGGTGACATATATAGAGAAACATGTGTCAAGTCTTTGCATCTGGCAACGTTTGGCTTCTGTCGAGTATATGCTACAAGACATCAGAATCTAGCATTCATATGTTTTTTTCGCGATTTAAAAAAATGGTGGGTGGTAGCACAATTCTGGCTTCAAATTCGGATTCAGCGCATCGACACGCATAGAGAAACACGTTTCAAGCCTGGGTCTAGCCACTTTTTTGTGTGTCTGTGTAATTATGTCTAAAGTCTGTTCAATAATAAGTAAATATTACTTATCAGGAAGACACAGTAAATTTTCGAACATGACATTTTTCACGAATAAAAGTCGAGTTTGTCCAATAGTGACTCGCGTAGTTTGCCGAAATTTCAATCTGCAACCACACCTTTCCACGTCTCCTCCACTTTTCCTTCTTCCTTTAAAATCTAAATCACATAAAAACTGTATATACAGTAACTTAAATATTCGTTTACAAGAAAGCGTATCGGTTTTTAGCAGAGATTATAGTAAAGGGAACCCTCCACAGTTAGATGATAAGAACTAACAAAAAAAGTACAACGCTATGCCATGGCACTCATATACACTTCAAATTTATGATGTAACAAAAGTGAAGACCTAACTACTCTTATCTGCACTGCCTTTCTAGTTTATCACTGACGAAGATAAAGGCATGTAGAAAATTATCAGTATAATGTTTTATAGTTTGAAATCTTAGTCTTTAAAAAGAACATCACTTTGAACGTTTCCCGTTTGGCACTTCAATAATTTAATGCCAGTAGGAAGACAAAAGAGGTTTAATTTAATGTTTCAAAGTAATTATCATAAAAGAAAAACATGAAATAATTAACCGAAGTCGCGAAAGAACTGCAGTGCCATTTAACATCATAATATGATAAGTGTATTTTCGATAAAACTATACAGTATTTTATAATTCTTCCTCCAAGACACAACTGTCGGAAATGATTTTAAAATTTTTAAATCTGTGATTACATGTAAATAACTTTTTAATTGTCTCAAGTATATTTCATAGCAGTAAACTGCTCTACCTTTCTAAACAGAAACTGAACTGATTTGCTGAATTTCTCTCTTTCATGGAAAATACAAAGGGCCACAGAACTCACATTTCATTGAAGGACAATAAACATTGTTGTTTGCTAGTTATTGTTGGTATACATTCGTTTTAAATCTCGCTCTCACTCACTCACTTTATTACTTCCTCCGTTCCTCTCTCTTTCTGTCTTTCTCTCGACGTTACAACAGACTAGCGGTATCGATTGACACAGACAGGAATTGTCTTCGAACCGAACAACAGACATTAAATTAGCGTGCATTTTATTCCCCTTACATTTAATTAATTTTCATATTAAATACTTGAAAATAACACAAATAATCCGTAATTTCTGAAACATTTGTACCGTTCTTTCAAAGCAGAAATTAGGAAAATATGTAGAAGTCACAACGAATGTGTGAAAATCGTTTACGTACTGTAAATATTGAAGATTCGATTTGAATGAGGATTTGCGTTCAAAATGTATTATTACGTGTGTAATACAATAGTATTTTCTGACATCAGTAGGTTATTTTGCATACCCTTTAAGGTAGCAAAGATTCGAAGGAATGGTAATATTGATCTCAAAAGTCTAAAACGTATAGACTATTTAGAACTCGCGTCTAAGTGAGAAGTTTTTAGAGTTAATATTTTCTTGCAAAATTCTGAATCGCGGCAGATATCTTTCTCAAAACCATGCCCTTCTGTTTTGCTTCTAATATAAAGTTGAAAAGTTAAGAAACGAAGTTGATAAATAAGCAAATTCCCATCCCAGTTTCGTAACTCATTTCTGGAGAACGACATCATGTGTCCATGTCACTAACACTTCTCAGTTCAACAAATTGAGAATTCTCTCTTGCAAATTAAATTTTAAATTGGGCGAGAGTATAAAAGTATTTTAATTCAAGAAAAAAATTAGGGGTGGACTTGAAAGAAAAGTGAAGTAGAAATTTCTGAAGCATAAAGCGCGTAGTTGACATTTTCTGAATCAGTGAAAACTTGTAGAATGTGCTTAAGTGTTGTGAATGGGAAGAAAGGCTAGAGAAATCTACTGAAAACGCTATAGCATAATAGATATGGTAGAAACAATAAAAACTCGGATGCAAATACAATTCTACCCTATTTCCTTACAAATATTTCCTTACCTCGCGAAGTACTAATCAAACACGAAAAGAAAGTTATCGGATATAAATGTTAGTTAAGAAATCGTTTCACTGGGAACTGCGACGGTTATTTCATTTTCATGTTTTTGAATTATAGTGTAAACTCTCGGTATTGAACAGCCAGGGGCATTCTCTAAAATGCATTATCTCTAACCACTTTATAATGAAAAATTTCTTCCAAAAAGACTTTACCTGAGTTTAGTTTCTTTATCTTTTAATTCATAAGATGATATGTATACTTGGCTATCCGGGACGAGCCGCGTCTCGGTCAATGGTACTGACGTTTCGGCCATCTTGCTGTGGGCTTCTTCAGAGCTATACTGAACTCATAAGATGATACATATCTCCATACAACAAAACTCTTCATAGCGAAAGAAATCATTCGATTACTTTAGTTTCCCTATGTTTTCAAATATTTTTTTTATTTAGCATGCTTTAGATTTTAAATATTTTAACACAAATTTCCAAAAATATAAATGTAAACTGTAAATACTCGTACATTCGTACGCCAGATATCATTGATATTTGGCGTAGTACATGCCTAAAATAATTTCCTCTCACTAATCAAAAGAGCCCATGTTTTAAAAAATCGACTGAAGGCATGGAAGTTTGATAATATACGTAAGAAGGGAAAATTGAAACCCATATTATATTGCTTCTTCTTTTGACAATTCCTGGCTTTCTTGTACCATTATAAAAAATAAAATAAAAGAATTCGATATTTATGTGGGATACATGGGAAAGATTTTATATTGTAAATAGTGGTCCATTTTTGTGAGCGAAAACAGAGTACATTGCTGAAAATCAGAGATTTGTAGATAATGTACGTGCTGTTAAACTTCGTGTTTCTCTTCAAAGCTAATTGAAGAAGCTCCCACCGAATTACAATTTTTTTCCCTTCATACTCTAATTTCGAAATGAAGGATTATGGATTCAAATATCTCCCATCGCATGTGCATTCCTTGTCTTCCATGTGTTGACCTCAAGTTCTCCTGAGACCAGATCTGAGGTACCCGCAAAAAGTTTAATAGTAATTTGCAGAGCCTTGCGTAAAACTTTGAGACAACTACGTGGCCAGCATCTTCAGTATCTTGTGAACTGTAAAAGGACTTTTTGAACGTTTTAGTCTAAATAAAAATATTAAAGAACTGTGGTAGCAGTGTGAGCTGTCAATGATAAATTCCCACAATGACACCTGCATTTTAGACGCTTTTGGTCGGTTAGAGCTGCCTACATAGCACTGAAATGTAAATTGTATTAAAAATGAAAATGTTCACAACCGCGTGTCAGAAAAAATAGCATCACTGGAAAGTTTGTTCCCAAATTTGGCACGAAAAATGTTGAGCGACCAAGAATCGAACACAGCATTATTGCGATTTAAAATGTTATCCCAAAATATGCTTTTTACACACAAAAAATTACAGATTTTGTTTGGTGCATACACATCCCAAAAGTGGTAGCTTACTCATTGTTAAAACTAAAATATCAAACAAGAGGACCGAATACAGAGTATCGCAATTTTCTACTGCTACATGTGTGTAAGTACGTGTTGTGCATACAGTGTGTGTGAAGATGTATAACGTGAGATAGATAAATTAATTAACGAACAATATTACTGTAAATGATATCAAATAATGAAATCAAAAAATTAATAGTATGTATCCCTTTTAAGTCGTTATTTATTTTAATTCAATTGTGTAATGCAAACTGTTTCTTTTTGAAATGATTTACTCTGCAAGTTTTTATTCCCAAATAAGAAATTTATAAAGGTAAGTTGGAAATTGATCTTAATTCCATCTAGACGTGAATCTATTAAGTGTACAAAAATTAGATTAAGGGAGAAAAGTCATGAACCAAGAACATGTTAACTCTTTTGTTGATGTTAGAACTGTGTCAGTTTGGACGATTTTTGTACGCAAGTGTGCTTTATTTTATTGGTATGACATTTAAAACTCCACAAAAACATAGACATGACTAAAGAGTTATTATTTATCTTTCTGTACAGATTTCCTAATTATTTTAGTTTCTAGGAAAGTAGACAGGGGGTTTGAGGTGGAGAGAGAAAGGGAAGACGGGGCGAGGCGGGTCACTTCAATTTGATATTAATAGATTAAAATATATTCATTGAAAATTGTAAATTTGATTCTTTACTTACTTTTATGCTTAATGTTTTTCTCCGAAACACGCTAAAAAGTGCAGTTATTGGTGGTAGTGAGAAGCATCTTTACCCAAAATCCGGACGTCATGTACGCCTTCTGTCTAATATACAATTCTGATAAATGCCCGAGAAATGCTGGGTTTCGTACTGAGAGTACGTTCATTATATATACAGTGCTACCAACATGCTGTAGGATCGTGGGATCATTAACTGCTCATACTGCTGCCACACTTGGTAACTAATTCCATATATCGTGATAACGTGGCTGATGTTTTGCCACATGATTCCCTAATTCTCACCAATTAGCGTTTTCCGCTAGAGCTCTAACTTAACGTAGGAGTCATCGTCAATAATGGCAGAAATCAATATTTTCATTGCTTCACAAAATGTAGCTCAATGCTCTAGATTCTCCCACCTAATTCCAGTTGTTAGAAATATCCAGATAATTTCAGTTATCACAGAATCAAAATATACAATATTCAATAGTTTTTGTTATGTATATTTTCAACTTTATCAGCGTGTACTTCATAATAAATATGTTCTGTATTTCATTGGTACCTTTCAACTCTCCATGTTAACATTACTAAAAATGTTATATCAATTATTTCATGGATATATGTGTATGTTGAACCGGGAGGGGGAGGGAGAAGGAGGTTCTTGTCAATGAAAAAAATGCTCAAGTGGTACGACAGAGAAAAAGGTTGAGACGCGCTCGTCTAGTGTATCGTCCGGGGTTTACCCTATTGGGACGCAGAGAGCAGAAAAAGTCCTGAGGAAGGCTGTACGTTGCGTATGCGCACCGTGTTAGAGGCATGAACCGGTCTAGAGTATGATCAAGACACATCCGATTGGGACACAAGGTAGAAAGTAGAGGATATAAATAGAGAAGAGGGAATAAGTAGTCCTGAGGAAGGCTATGCGTTGCGCGTGCGCAGACTGATGGAGGCGCGCAACATGAGCCGGTCTAGTGCATGGTCTGTATGGTCCGGGTGCATCTCTCTGGGACGCGGGGTATCAAGTAGAGGGTATAAAGAGGGTAGAGGGAAGAATTCTCCGTGAGGAAGGCTGTGCGTTGCGCGTGCGCAGACTGATGGAGGCGCGCAACATGAGCCGTCCGCGCGGGGCGGCGGCGGCGACGGCGGACGGCGAGGACGGCGCGCTGGACGCCGCGGACGCGCGCGCGGGACGACGCATCGTGGAGCGCCTGCGCAGCGACGTCAAGGGCCTGCGCAACGCCCTGCGCAAGAGCCGGCGCAGCGCCAGACACAAGGTACTCACCCGCCGCTGTCCGCTTCCTTTACAGCGCTTCATGTCCGCCTTTTGCTTCCATCTTCACAATAAATAGAGTAATATTTCTGTCTACTTGCTGCTGGGAGTGAGGTAGAGCGATGTTGTCACTTACTCGGATGGGATTGGGTCGTTTGGCATTCTTTCATCAGGTCACAACAGCAGGAGCAGTAGCAAGAAACCATTCGTAAAGACAGCACACAACAGTTGACAATAGAACCTCACACAATTTCAGAGCCAAATGACCAGATGCGTTAGAACCAAACAAGTAAAAGCTTCAAATGGTGCTCTTCAATTTTCTGTTGATTCTCGCTGTAAGATTTCATTTTTTTCTTAATATGCATCAGCAACTCTGCAGTGGAAACATCATAATTTCAAGCGTCAGATTGGATAAAGGAACTCCCTTAGCAGCCACTAGCTGTCAAGTAGACAAATATTTATTCAGTCAATTTGCTCATTTGATTGATTGGTTACTAAGTGTCTCCTCGGATGTATCGATTACTTTTAGTAAGTTACGCGAACGAGAAGTGTATGTAATATCACGGAAAGGCATTGATGTTCTCCACTGGTACGTGAGGTCCAGCGCCGGCCTTCACGTAGGCTTGTGGGGGTTCACGTAGGCTTGCTAAACACCAGTTTTCCCGACGAGCAGTCACAGAATAGAAAGTAAACAGAAGGTACTCTCCCGTGCATTCCTAGCTATGTAGCTAGGTCAGAAGTTAACTAGCTCAAGAAATGCGGCGTTGCCAGAATTTGTACAAATATTGTTCGCTAAACAATTATCATCTTTTTATAACAACTTCCCCTCCAAATATTAATGGTCTTTTTCAAAGAGACCCAATTACATGGCAAACACTTGACCCACCTTTTTTCAATCCTTGAAGACATATCGGAAGCCATTTTTCATAGGTCCTTCAAAATCGTCTCCGCAACTTTCCTCGTGTCTTCTGATTATGAGAAATGCTTTCCAAAAAGTTGTTTCTTCGCATTGGAAGAAATAAAAATGTCACGTGGTTCTTGATCTGCATTAAAAGAGAGGATTGGGGATACACGCCTTATTTATTTCTTCAATATATTCAGCAACGACATTCGAAACGTGCGTCCTTGCATTGCATATGTAGCATCCAATCTTTGGCTTGGGAAATGTTATCTTTTTCTGTTGAGATAGCCTTGAAGAATTTCAGGATAGGGCCATTTTTTTGAAAATTTGGATTGTCCCAGGGGCTCCATGTAAAGTATTCCCTAGAATTAAAATATCGGTTTCAAATTCAAGGATGTCAGCCAGATTGATTAGAAAATGTCAATTTTGAAGAAAATCGCGTGAATGGTTCAGCCGCTAGCATTGTTCACAGACCATCGGAAGGACGGACGGACAGACAGGCAGACAGACAGACAGACAGACAGACAGACAGACAGACAGATAGACAGACAGACAGATAGACAGACAGATAGAGAAAAAAAATAAGGAAGGAGACAGGACAGATAGACAGATAACAGACAGATAGACAGACAGATAGACAGACAGATAGACAGAAACAGATAGACAGACAGAGACAGACAGATGACAGACAGATAGACAGACAGATAGACAGACAGGTAGACAGACAGATAGACAGACAGATAGACAGACACAGATAGACAGACAGATAGACAGACGATAGACAGACAGTATAGACAGACAGATAGACAGATAGACAGACAGATAGACAGACAGACGGATAGACAGACAGATAGACAGACACACAGATAGACAGACACACAGATAGACAGACAGACAGATGACAGACAGACAGATAGACAGACAGATAGACAGACAGATAGACAGACAGATAGATAGACAGACAGATAGACAGATCAGATAGAGACAGATAGATAGACCAGAAGATAGCAGACAGAAACAGACAGACAGACAGACAGACAGACAGATAGACAGACAGATAGACAGACAGATAGACAGACAGATAGACAGAGAGACAGACAGACGATAGACAGACAGATAGACAGACAGATAAGACAGACAGATAGACAGACAGACAGATAGACAGACAGAACAGATAGACAGAAGACAGACAGACAGACAGACAGATAGACAGACAGACAGATAGACGTTTTGCCGTCATTATATTTTTCGGCGTGAAGAATCCCACTAAACATGGACTATGGCTACACCACGTGTTAGAGGATTTTTTCTAATTTAGCAGTTGGATTTTATCCACTTTTTCATTGAGAGCCCTGCAATAAAAGTTTTTCTGCCGAAAAGACGCCGTTTTTCGCGCAAAATTACATTACTTTCTCTCTATTCCGAACATAGAAAATAAACTTAAATAAAAAATTTATTGAATTAGAAGTGATGCGTAATTGAGAAGAAGAGAATGCGTTTGACGGGCAGGCTCTTGTTGCAGGACGAGTCGCTGGAGCTGCAGCGCTGGAGCCGGGAAGCGGCAGCGGCGGGACAGCGGCGGGCGCAAGGCATGCTGCGGCGCATGTCGCGCGTGCACGCAGCGACGGGCGGCGGCGGGGCGGCGGCGGCGGCGGCCGGGGCGGGCGCGGTGGCGCGGTGGCGGGGTGGCGGTGCCGCCGCCCGACGCCGGCGGCCCGCCGTCGTCGCCGCTGGGCGCGGGGCTCCCTGCTGCAGCGCCTGCGGCTGCTCAAGGAGAAGCAGGAGCGCGAGGAGCGCATGCGCCAGGCGCAGTTGCTGGCGCAGGGCGCCGCCGCGCCGCCGCCCGCGGGTGAGTGCGCGCCATCTTTCCTTTCTCTTCCTTGCCCTGTCCTCGCCCCTTGCACGCGCACTCGCATGCACTACACAATCACACTTGCCGGGAGACCGGTCGGGAGCTTAGAGCTTGTCTCGGATGGGGACGGGGGTGCTTGGTGGGAGATACCTGGTTGGAGAAAACGCCGCAAGCCGACGGGTTGATTGGCCCCGGATCTCGACATCCAGCGGGGGAAGATCACACAGTCGCCTCCCGCGATTTAAAAGCATGCACTACACTTACGGGAATAATGACCTTATTAGTTCACCCGCCAGGAATCAACTAATCAATCTACCACTCCTCGCGCTCACACGACCGCTCCAGCGAAACTCCAACCTCCCATCAGCGGCGGCGCTAAGCCTCCACATTCAGGGCGAGCGCCGTAGTCTCTCGGGGTAAGGGACAAAATCCTAACTTCCTCAAGGTCCGGGTAAAATTGGTCACGTGATGACCCCAACGCCGTAACCTAAGGTGTAGCGAATCAGAAGCTTCAGCATTTGCATTCAGTTGTCAACAACAAGCTTTTTTATCTCGTTGGTTGTCACATATAATTAGGGAACAACGAATCGCGTGCCTCGAATGTTTTGGTTAACCAGCTGCGCGAAGTCTTGTATCAAGTATATTGTGTTTTAAAATGCGTACCGAGTGCGGATTTTCTGAGTAGAGGTGTTGTTGGATTTATTGATATTGTTATAACTGTTTAAACCTTTCTTTTTATTGTTGTTTATTATTGCCGTTTTGTTATCGCTGTTTGTTTTTGGCTATTAGTATCGTTTCGATTTGTCTTCTGAAATGTCAGAAGAAAGTGGCAAACGCGGCCGCTTGTTGAATCGGACAGTTCTGAAAGCAGTAATCAGGAATATAGTGATAGCGCAGAAAGAACTGTTTAAAACACTAGTGAAGGGTTTCATTGCACCACTGCATTTTTTGTTGACACTGCGCACGATGTAGTGTTCTCAAATAATATTTACGAATTCTGTTACTTTGTCATATATCTGTGTAGTTTGGGAATATGGGGGAAGGATCAGGAAAGGTAAGTTTTGTAATGATCTTTCTTCCACTTGTTACGAGTTTCTCAAAATTACTTTCCTTTGTTTGCCTTGTTAGTGTTGAGAGCAAGTGGCAGAGCAAGCGCGCGCAGTATGGAGCAACGCCGCCCCCCTCCACACCTAACTGTCAACTACATTCTAATTTTATTCGCACTTTAGTACTTTTATCATCAGGTCGCCTTTTAGCAATTAAGCTCTTTCTGCGACCCACCCATCCCGCCACGTCACAAATCTCTTTCCATTCTCGTATTTTTATCTCCACGTTGTTTTCGAAATGGGACACTCTCCCTTATCAGCTGTCGGAGATGGTCCGAGATAATTTAAAAAATACAACTCAAAAAATTTGTCATGATTTAATAAGTTTCTCTAAATAGTCTACTATTGCAATCAATTTACGAATTAATTTCATATCAATAATGAATTTGCTAGTCAATAATTCATAATATTTTATTAACAAATATACCATTTACATTTTTATTATTTTATTTTTGAGGGGGTTCTAAATTTCTGTTTTGAAGGCCCGATATTGTTTAGCCCCGACACTGTATTTCATACACGGCAGATCTGTAGTGTTAATCGTGTATACCGTGGTTCAACCAAGCTTGGAAGAGTTTCCAACCTAGCACTTGTAACGATGAGACCTGCTTAGTGAAAATCAATAATTAACTTCGCGAGACTTGAACAACCTTGTTATCCATTTTCACTTCATTAGAGATGTAACTCCTCTAAAGGGATCGCTCCTATATAGAATAATTGAATAATTTATTAAATTTTTAACTTGTTAATAGCTTCTCGTGTCTTTACAAACTTTAAACCAGTCCCTTTACTCTCTGAACATTCTCATATTAAAGGTCTGTTTTCTAGTTGACGTCCAGGAGTACGGCAAATTTCCCCTTTAATATTATGATTGATTCCAGCACTCCAGTTGTTTATAACATGCGAGAGTGGAGTTAGGCGGACTTTGACTTACGTATGCAGAGTTACTATTCAAAATTCAATTGGCAATTTCTTCAATCTGTTGAGATTAAATAATCCGTTTACTTTATTGTGTTATATTATGGGTCAAAAACAATGTAAATTCATCACAAACATTTTTATAAAACAACTATCTTTTTACACACTGAAGTTTAACAATTTTCAATATTAATATAAGTTTCATCAATATAAATTTCCTGCCGTAAAATTTTTCACTTCTCGTTCGCCTACATCAATATCAGCAATTTTTGCTCTATTCAGCCAGCGATATTTTTTTTACCATAATCTTTCAATACACACTCACGATAGCCGTCACACACAAAGAAACTGGTTCAAGTAATGGCTGCAACTAAAATCAATTTTGTATTCTGAATCCCCAAACATTTCGAAAATGTGTTCTCTTTTGAAGTTAAGAATTAAAATTCACATTCTAGTCCATTTGGCTGTGAAGGTACAGAACCTTCACCTAAATTTATTGACTGAGTAAGCCAATAAAAACTGCAAATATATTTTGAAGATTTACTACAGATACTCATCCATTAAGCAGCGTAGATATTACGTAGTGCAGTTTGTAAAAGCCATATACATTTGTCCCATTATCTCACGATCTATTTAACCTAGTTCTATAAAATTTTAGGAGCAGCTTGGTGGAAATGTCTTAAGAAAATGTGACCAGATTTATATCTTTTGAAAATATTTTGTAATTTGCAGAATATTTGAAGTAAAAGTCAAAATGTTTACAATACTTTTTCTGTATTTTTTTTTAGAAATCCTTTAGTACGACACTAACTGTACTGATTTTGGAAACATATTTATTATTACTTAGTTGACCTCTAGAGAAACATTTAACATTATAACTTGAGTATGGGGCAAAAGTGTTAAAAAATGTCAGTTTTCGAAAAAAAAACATTTAAGTTAGTTCTTCTATGAAATCAGTTACCTCCTCATGGTAACAAGTAAATAAAACAGTAATGTATATATCATTTTATTTTAAAAACTCTAAATATTTAGAAAATATTAGAATCTCCAAAATATCCAAAAGTCAGATTTTAGGTTTATTTCTTCCCTCAATGTTTGAGAACGTCCCCTTGCCTAGCAGAGCAGTGAGTGGCTGCCAGTGTAAAGCTCGTAGGGCTGTCCGCAGGGCCGCTGTCTCCGCTGTCGCCGTCGTCGTCGGCGTCGCCGCCGGCGGCGGAGGCGGACGCG